AACTAGTCGGACATGCACCCAGAGGGAAGTCCGCGTTTGCCGGTGCCACATGACTTTCTTCTCGATATGGTATCTTTGTACATGTTTGCACGGGGGTGCAGTAGGGGTGCTCAAAAATTGATCGTTTGCAATCGATCGTTGTGCAGCAGTTCCAAAATGGGTTGACTACCAAATCCGGCGTGCAACCAGAATGAACTTGGGAGGTATTTGGCGCTGCGCGGCACGCCAGGTCCGATTCCTAACATGTAAAAGTCTATGGTAAACCAACAGCAGGGACTCTACAAGCAGGGAAATAATCTTTCTTGCTCCCCGGGCGCTGCACGGCATCAACAATGCTCATAGTTATTTCATCTTAACCTGAATGATACTGAATGATATCAACTTCTAACTCTTAAGTTAGTGGTCTGCCGGTGTGGTCAGAGTCTTCAATCCATCAGTTACTTGGTGTCAAGCTTTACAGTTACATATATCTGAGGAATAGATAATAAGCGCCTTCTTTGCTGCCCTAGGGTGGCATTCCACCACCCTTAATCAGTGTTACTGTAGAGTCATAGCTTGTACCGTAGGCAACAGGATGCTTGCCATTGGCACAATTCCACAGGCAGCCGGGGAATGCCGGACAGTGCCACCCTACATATTTGGAATTAACTTCTATCACACAAACGGTAATCCCCGACATAAGGGGTAATAGTTCCTATTTGTTGGTGGCGGTAAGATTTCGATCAGGCCACCTACCATTTATGAATATTGCTCCTTTTACATTTCGAGTAATTTGGGACGTAAGTGGTATAACCCCTGTTAAGCGCTCGCTTTCTCGATCACCAGAGAGCCCTATACAACTACTGAACAGTAAACCGATTCTAGAGGAATCGGAACTCGACGACCTGCGATCGCATTGGCAATTCAAACTCCGCCGCGGCTTCACCGCTCGCGCTGATTACTGCGATTAATGCATGATAAGTACAGCATGCACTACACAACTAAACCCCTGTCCAACCCCATGCCTAAGACAACCAAAGCTGAGCTCCAAGCTGACATCGCAATTTTGTCCGGTGGTCTGCTCTCAGCAGCGGCATGCATTAGTGATGATGATTGGGGTACCCATGGGACCCTTTGTAGCATATCAGATACGAAATATGTTTGAAGTCATGAATACTTACCTGAAGTCTTGGATCGAGGACGATAGCATTACCTTGATCATGGCCGCTAGCCGGGACTGGCTGTTCAGCACCAGCCACCGGGTAAATGGTCCTGAATCTGGTTTGAAGGCACTTTCAAGCATGAAGATAGAGGACGAATGCTCATCCCATTAGACGTTCTCCAACAGGCGACGCGTGAAATGGGACTTAGGACTGTACCCCGACGTACTGCCAATTCAAGCTCTGACGCAACAATACGTGCAACCAAACGCGAACAATCAGGTGCATTGAATAATTCCAGTCGTTCGCTTGTCTTTCGCGTGCTTTCCCGACCAATTTGGGATTGCTGCACAATGATCGATTGTGAACGATCAATTTTTGAGCACTCCTAGTAAAGCTACCTAGCTTTGGAAGACTTCTGTGATGCCGATTCCAAAAATGAACAAGCCTCCATTTAAGACAGTTGCTCCTCTACTAAGTCTTATTTAGGAGGCACAGTATCAAGCCTACAATGAATAGGCCGTCCGCAATAATAAAATCTACATATACCATTGTATACCGTACGGCAACTGGCCTGGGTATAAATCGGGACTGGGTATGGGTTATTATTCGCCGGTGAAAGACTCCAGGCCCATGTGTCTTGTCATTTGTACCTAGGATGATCTGGTTGCAGGACTGCACAACCATCACAGATGACCAAGACTATGTAGGCCTATGGATGGACATATATTTCTGTGGCTGCCGTAGAGTCCCAAATGCCCCTCCTTTGGGAGGGGTTCTGGTGCCCCCAATATGCGGACCACTTTTCAACTGACCGGCCCAGCGTGCCATGTTTGGCTTTAGTGGCGCCACTACTGAATGAAGACTTGTTTCGAATCAACTCTTGAATCCGTCAGGCAGCAGTTGATATGCACCTGGAACAGAATGTATGGAGTTGGAGCTCACTAAAACTCCATATATTTTATGTTGTTTTGTTGCCACTTATACAGTGGAGATTTCATGGCATTCACAGTCAATGAAACTGCACATAGACATGAAATGGACCTGGGAACCATGCAATCCAGATAATGTACACATGCACACATCATGCATGTCCCGGGCAACAGAATTTCTCTTGGGCTGCCCAGGATATGCCACTGGACCTCCTGGATCCCAAAGCTCACTCAGCCCAAGTAACAAGCTGATTTTTCGATCATAGAACTCGAGGCATTGATTTCAACAACATATGATACAGTAATTTGTATGCAATAAGTAGTACTCAAGCTCAACTAATACACAATGGAGGGGTAAGCTGCCAACAGCTGTCGGTGCTTCTCGAGTCTCAATGTGGTGGATAATTAGGGCTATGGTGTACCTTTCATGAGTTTTTCCCCTCTTAGAATGTGTGCCATAGTCACCTTGCGTTTGGCAAGGTCTCTTGGGATACAAGGCCGGCACAATGTGTCGCCTTTTTTGGACAGGCTGTATAAACCTGTCAGTAGAGGGCCATTGCTATGCATGGCAGGCCACAAGTCCTGAGTTGTGTCTGATAAGTGACATTGGGTGTATAAATGTTCCAATTGATGTATACAGTACTCTTTCTTATGCACAAATCCCCTAGATCGGTATCTGGAATGTCCCCTTTATTTGTACTTTGTCCTCCTGTAGCCCTGCCATCATTATACCACAATAGTCCCTGCCACTCTGACAGATTAAAAGTCTGTCTGTATCGGTGACTACAAAAAGATTACATAATTGTATTTGTACCCAGCCCAAGGGATAGTAGCAGCAGCACTACTAGACACATGTACCATAGATCAAAGTGCTCCTCCACTGTCAATCAAAGATTGGCAGCTCTGTCACACAGGTTTTTGTCCCCAGTGGAAGACACAGTCAATAACACCTACAGACTCCAGGTAACATCCTACCAGAACCAGAGTGCTCCTCTGCTGCCATGCAAAGATTGGCAGCTCCCTTGCTACTCATTTTCCCAAACCAAGCTGAAGGACACAGTCATCAGAAAGGGTACTCAAACAGTACCCAAAACAGCTGGTAGCAGCAACAAAATAGAAGTTACCCATGTGCTAGCTTCAATTTCTCAAGGGGACATATAGACACCACTGAGTAGGAAGAAACCAGGGTTCCAGAGGCAGCAGACATCGACAGACACATGCCCAAGATTCCTGGGTTGTGACCAAAGAGACTTGTATCATAGATTGGTCCCTGCCACCCAGACATAGACTCAGACTATACGTGTGAAAAACAATCAACGTTGAGACTAATTCCCATGGTCAGGATCCATCAAACTATTCAGCAGTCAGCATATTATTTTGGAACACTAGTGCAACATTTAAGAACCTCTTATAGCCAACATAAGTTCAATGTGTATGTTCGGATTAATAGCAAGCACAACCAACCAAGTTGACATGCTTCAACTACAGCAAGTACTAGACTAATGAGCAAATGGGCAACTATGACATAGCTCAACTACAGAAAGGTGCTTTCTGCAGTCAAGCTATGTCATAGTAAGCAGGAGCCAATGAGAAGCCAGAGATCCCAACCGGCGCGGCACCTCAGCCACCGACTACAAACAGCCACAGAAGTCAATTCCCACGGTAACAACATGCCACAGACGACAACGAGCATGCAGTAAAAGACGGAGGTACGATAAGATGCTCAAAATATTCCAGTGGATGGACGACCCAAAAAAAATCTCTTCGTAGAAGAAACCACGAAAATACACGGAAAACCCAGGACGAAAACACAGTATTCTTGAAAACAGAGACTACAAATCCGATTTGTAGTCTTTTTGTAGTCTCCAATACAAGCGGACTTTAAAGCGGACATTAAACAGTGTAGTCAAGACTACAACCAAAAAGTCGCACGCATTCTCGGCATTGCAATTCCCACGGGGTACAACGTTCGGCACGCACCCAATTTTGCGGGTAAGGACTCATCCTTCGTAAACTCAGGACTCGTAATAACAATTGATGGCATAATGCTGAGTCTGCAATCATGTGCGTCGCTGGTGCGGGATTGCGACTAGTACTATGGTGCGGTCCAGTTATGAATGCATGATTCATTACTTTGGCCTATATGATGATGTCTGAGTGCAGTCTTTATGGTGACGGATCTGGGTATCCTCTGGCCACTCAAATGCTTGGGTTGTCATGTAGTACTAGTACGTCCAGTGAGACCATATGCCACCTTCCAGTCCACCCATATGCTGGAAGTGGTACATATGTGCACTGTCCGACTAGGCGGTCCCCAGCCACTGGCAGTTTCTACTGGGATTGACCGCTGAGCGCTGTGCACGACTGTAGCGCGGCAGGAAAGACGGGCTTCGCCTCAACCTCTCCTTAACTTCGCCTCGTTGCAAGGTATACTCACCGCAACGACCGGCGCGTTCCTACTACCAGTTATCACTAATCCTTGAGTGATCCTCTTCGCTAACTGCGCGGGGCCGGGCGACTGCGGTATCAAACATGTGTCAGTGTGACTACGGTCTGGTCTAAGCTGCTTGCACTGTTGTAAAAGATCGCAGTGCGCGATGATACGTGAACTTTCCCTTTGAACTCATGTCGAGGTCTTGCGACAGGTAAAATAATAAATGGGTGTGTGCCTCCGAGTCTTCTTGTACCGCTTCTGCTTACTGTAAAACGTTGATGACGATCTCGATTAGCTGCTGCATAATATAACGTGTCCGTCGTCCGATCGTCCTGCGGATGGGCCACTAGGTCAAGCTAGCACAGCGCCCGCGAGGCCGTGCATTCACGGAACTCCAAAGGCCTCGCGAAAGCGGGACTTCCTGGAGCTTCGTCCCAGCGATAATTTGCAAAAGGCCCTGCAAGCGTCTATGGAATACCAATCAACGCAAGAGCCATGGTAGATACAAAAGAGTCGGAGTCGTACCTGGTATCCCCCATTCTGCCCACCCTTGCAAGCTCTCAAGATGATACGGGCCTCAATACTATGGTTCAAAAACCGGGGAACCTCGGAACCGCGTACTGACGGCGGTGCTCAGGCTCGTACCGATATACGATACAGAATCAGTCTTATGGCAGCGTTTGCTATTCCGATTTTTCTGGAGACATTGGATTATACAGGTGAGTCAGCCGGAGTTAGCTGAGACCATCCATCTAACCCCAGTTGATCTCTCTGGTACTCAAATACAGTCGTGGCTACTGCTCAACCCGAAATAGCTGTGAGTTCAGTATGTACTACTCGGGAATAGTGGATATTCTGACACGGGTCTAGTCAGTATTTCATCATCTTGAGCTTCAAAGGTATCTTCGTCCAGGCACACTGGTTCACGTTCGTTCGCTAATCTTTCCTGCAGTTACATTGGCGCTTCCTATCTGCTTGGATCAACTGCATTTATCCTCCCATTTGGCGCATTAGCTGATATCTATGGCCGCCATACATCTGTGCAAATATCACTTGTTTTCTTCATCCTGGGTAGCGCCATCAGCACGGGGGCGCAAAATATAGGGATGATGCTTGCTGGGCGGGGTATCGCCGGTGTAGGTGCAGGTGGAATGACCTCTGTGGGTGACTTCACGTCGTCGTGAGTAACCAAAATTTGCTCAAAGGTTGTCTAGGTCATCCGCATCATATTGGCAGACTCTCGATCCGTGGACCAGAACAGCTGGCAAATCATGATGCTTACAATCCTCTACACCATTGGATATTGTGTAGGCCCCGTAATTGGTGGAGCACTGACCACTGTCTCGTTCCGCTGGATCTTTGCGATAAAGTAAGCATTTGGGCTTAATCTCTTATAGCCACTTATCTATCTCACATCTTGCGCAGCTTACCCTCGTGCACGCTCGGTGCCGTCCTCATCTTCCTTCTCTTGCGTAATAAGACAAAGAAAGGGCAGGCATCTGCCTACCCCGCTCTCAACGAAGGCAGGGAAACTGGGGTCGATAAGTGCCTACGGATCGATTGGATTGGCATCATCCTCTTCGCCGGGGGCGGCATCCTTCTTTTACTTGCCCTGAACTGGGGCTCGACGGACAGATGGGATGATGCGAAGGTCATCGTTTCCTTCGTCGTCGGTGCTGTCTTGTTTGTAGCGACCTTATTTTGGGAGTATGTGCTCGCTATGGTCCAACGCACCACCACTCCTCCGGCACTGCGCATCCTTCGGGCGAGTCAACTGCTGCCGCTTGATCTCTTTCGTTCCTATACTGTCTGGGCCATCACGCTCTGTTCCTTCGCGCAAGGAATGGTCACGATGGTTATATTCTACTTCGTGGCCATCTTCGCGGTCATCGTCAGTGGCTTGACGTCGACTAATGCAGGCCTCCAATTGATATACTTTGCTCCGGGGCTGGTAAGCACATCCTACCGGTTATGTCAAGAGACTTACAGTTCTGGGATAATAGGGATGCGGAACTTTCTTATCGACGGTGACGACGAAGTTTACTCGCCAGGTAAATCTCTATAGAGTGAGATTGCGGTCCCTGCTGATAGAACCCCACGATAGCCGAGGCTTTCCATTAATTTAGGCGGTGCGATTACCTGCATCGGTCTTGGGCTCGTGTCCATGGGAGTCGACCAGAATAAGCAAACCCTGGTTAATAGGTTCGTGGCAGCCCTACGCGCAATAACGGGTCGCTTACTTAGATCACAGTTTCATGGTCCTGACTGGGATTGGCGCCGGTATGGTGACCGCGTCATCTGGTGTACAGATCCGGTTCTCGGAACCCCCGGAAAAGCAAGCGATTGTCACTTCCCTCACCATGTTCGTAAGTGCACCGTCTGCTTCAGTGATTTTATATACATCTTATACGCTTCCTTGCGTTTCAGATGCGGGCGTTCGGAGGTACAGTGGGATTGGCGCAGTGCGGCGCAGTCATGAACTCCAAGGTCTCATCGTACATCGGATCCATTGTCCGCTCGGGCGTCCTTTCCGCCAGCGACCAAGCACTCTTAGGGACAGGTGCATGGCGCGCGGATGCAAGCCTATCCTCCCTACAGGCAATCAATGGGCTTCCCAGTAATCTCCAAGCTATCGTCCGGGCGGCGTTTACGAGCGGACTCCGGTGGAGCTTTATATCCCTCATCCCGTGGTGTGCTGTATCAGCGCTGTCGACGCTACCCCTTCCTCGTATCCAGGATCCCGGGCCTGATGCTCGCAGTCAAGAGACGTTAACAACGGTCAAAGAGAGCGACGGGTTAGCCATGGACGACGTAAGCATGAAGCCTGGAACGTCTGTCTCAGGCGTTAGAAATCAAGCCCCGGAGTCAGCGTGACTTGGTCTTGAAGTCTTCCAGTACAGAGGACTACAAATGTCCTCGCGACGCTTGGGAAGGCCGTCCGCGGTCTATTAGGGATGGACGGACCTGTACTACATCGTACTTGCATAGTGTTGTTCCTTATGTTGTCATATACCCGGGCCACGACTGCCTAGATAAAGAGCTGACGAGACGTCATGGTACCTTACTATCAGACTATGTACTCGGAAGACGAGTACAGGGCTCCCTAGCAATCGATCGCAAGTCTTCATCGCAAGGGTACTGAGAATAGCCTTCATCTGGGTTATGTAAAGCAAATGTTGATGATCGGGGGCGCTATGCCCTCTTGATCCTTTCATGGCGATATTCCCCACATCAATCCCGTTTGTATTTTAGCCCGGACCAGTACAACGGAAATACGTCATATCTCCAGCAGATCGGAACACCGTGCTTTGATCGTACTCATTTCATACAACACCAATGCCAAACCCTATCTTCGATGGCTTTCACCCGCTCAAGCTGACGCTGAACGAGGTAGTGACAAGCTCAGCAGTGCCAGTGAAGGCTTCCGTGCCGGTCTGAATGGCCTGGATATACTGTAGACGATCGACCCCATCAGCCTCTGCGATGGCTTTCCAACAGTGAAAGCAATACTAACCTGGCTGGCGGAGACACCCTCATTCTCGACCAAGTACTCTGTGGTATGTATCGGTCAGCAATGAGTTAGCCAGGTAGAAAATGTAGGCGTACGGAAGAAGGGAGTCAGCTCGGCGTTGAAGCTAGTGATATCCCCGTCAGCCGAAACGAAGGACAGGGTGGTCCAGGTCTCGGTGGTTCCGCTCCACAAGTTCCAGGTATAGCCGGCAAGACTGATTCCAGAGGTCTTCAGAGAGCCAACGGGTTGGATTCTGGAGAATTTTAGCTCGACTACCAGGATATCCCCTAGTGAGGAGCCGCCACTTACCCGCCCTTGCCGGAAAGCCAGATCATGCTGGGGTAACAACGCTATGAGTAGAAGTTTATTTATATGCAAAGACTTGAGGACGCACATCTCGTAGGATGAAGAGGAACTGGCAGCTGTGCCGGTCTGCGCAGTACCGGTCCACATGTCGTACCTACAAGCAAGGGCAAGATGGTTAGGGCCGGGCACAACCATAGTACTATCTGGATGTTTCACTTACGAAACATCAGCGCGGAGGCCAGACGACTGAGTCTCGTAGTACCAATCCCAGGTGGTGGGGAAGCTGCTAATTTGACTGATCTACAGTGGAAGGCGTCGGTCCCGGTTGAATGGAGCTCCTGCCAGCGGGACTCACCTGCACTCCCTTGGCGGTGTTGGAGAGAACATTGGCATCTATTTGATCACACTATAATTTAGCAACCGTTCGAACGACATAGGAAGGTAATCGTACAGGTCTTGACGTCATTCGGGTTGTTAGCCCAAGTGTAGTTGGTCGACCAGGAGATGGTGCTGCCAGAAGCACTGATCAAAGTCGAGGTCTGGGAGCCCACACCGTTGGCTGAAACGTGTAATGAGTCGCTATAGACGATCAGGTAGATCCAGTAGACCTACCAATACCCCACTGGTCATTGCAGAGGGTATAATCTCCAGCAGTGTCACAGGTGTATTGACCAGTGAGCACGGTCGCCGCGGATGCAAGCTTTAATGCGCCCAAGGCAAAGGGCAAAGCAGAGATGAAGCGGAACATCTTGTAAACACCGAGCTTGTAATAAGTGAGTAGTTCTGTTAAGGAACTATGGCAATTGGGATAGCCTAACGTTCTCTTTTATACCGCGGAGAGGCTAGCGTCATCAAGCCAGATGACCTGCGAACGATATGAACATGGTTACAACCGTGGAAACATACGTGAGAATACAAAAGGGAAGATGGTAGGCTACCTCGCGGTACCGAAACGGGGGAATCGATGTTCTTGAGGAACACGACAGCCGTTAAGCTTGCCAGAATGAGCCTACCCTGTTGGCTGTATGTCAGGACGCATTCCCATGACTGTTGCCGAAGAAGAATATATTCGGTCGCATCGGATGGATACAGTCGACTTCACGTGGGCGGACGGACTTCGCTGCATAGAACCCATAGGTAGACCGAGTTTCATCTTCCGTCCTATTTTCGAAACATCATGAGTGGAGCGCAAAGGCACTGCGAACTTGTCCTTCCCGACATACCGAAATCGACTCGGGACTTTCTGGAAACGCACCTTGTAGGATGTATTATTCGCCGTGACCTTTGGAATCGAGTCATTCAAGCCGATCCTGACAGCTACTTGTTAATATCGGATCAGACATTCCTCCGAGAAGGCTCAGAAAATGGTCCGCACAGTTGCATCGGAATGTACAGGGGCCAGAAAATTCCGGATGCCAACCAGAAAATGAGAGCAGGAATAGAGGGCTATGCGCTTGCTATAGATAGCAGCTCCACGCAAGTGGCATCATTTCCTGGCAAGTCAACTGGGGATAAAGCAAGTCGTGGTATCCAACAAATTCTGACTCGGGCACAACAAGAGACTATACCAGTGAATGGGGCGATTCAGGGTAAACAAGCAATGGACCAAGACATCGATTTATCCCAGGTCTAACGGGGGCATTTGGATGAAAACCTATTACCTGGGGCCTTGCGACTTGAGGCAATGTAGCCTCTGTCTTGGAGTTATACGAGAGGTGAAGGGTAGGTTCATGGGTTTTGTCGACCCACAGCCCAATCGTGCCAAGTGTGGCGCATGGCTGCCCCCGGCTGGGTCAGCAACTCTCACGCAACCGTTCCCCGAGGAGCTGTGGCCGCCTTGTATGCGATGGGGCATTTCATCTAGAGTCCGGCTGACCTGTTCACCTCTGACTACCATTAGCACCCCTCCAGCGCACTGTCACAAAGAGTGAAAGACGAAGTATGACATGACGGACTTCCTGTCGCCCACGACCTTCACTAACGCAAGAGCTGGTGCCGAATGTCGCGTGTAAGTCTGCAACCAGAGATTTGAACTTCTGATGCAAACCCTCGTACTACGGGGTCATCACATCGGACACTCACGGGGACAAGCAGGAACTCAGAACACCTCTCTTAACCGTATGCTTCAAGTCCAACAAAGGTAAAAGGCCGGATTTTCATCTCTGACACCTCGGAACCATCACTGCGACTTGACGGGATGCTATGAGATACAATTGCCCCCAAGAGAAGTGCCTTAATTGCTTTATACAGAGAACCTATGACAAATAATTCTCAGGCTCGGAGCTGGTCGCGTACCGCCGGGCTAGCTACCATTGTGCATCATTCGTTGTAAGAAGCATCCTCTAGAATGGAACGCCGGGATTGTTATGCGACGTCAGGGTTTTTCCCTTCCCAACGATCATCGGCCGCCCACTGGAGAAAGTCTGCGCTAACGTAGGTGTATTCTAGGATATTCGATTCAATTGCATCAATCACAGCACTCATGAGGACTCAACGTTGGATCGACTTGTCCCGTGTGTCCTTCAAGCCCATGCAGGGTTCCTATCCCACTTGGGTAGAACCGAGGTCGAGTCTCTATTGCGTGACAGTTGCACGTGCGTTATAGAGGACGACCTCCATTTATGCCGTGGCGGGCCCGCCTCGCGCATTTCTTCCTTCAGCTAGTCGGATGGTCCACACCCCTATAACATCGCCCGCGGCACAGAAACGGCTGATCTAACAATATCGTAGTAACACAAGTAAATGGCGTAATCGGCATGTGGTACTCGGAACGTCGTGCTATTCAATCCTATTCTCTCTTTCGTCTAGTTGTGAATGGGGGATGCATTTACCCTCACCGCGAGTTCCAAAACGCGCTGAACATATTGAACTCCCATTTGGGGCGACCTGTGTTGCAAAGAATTTAGAAGTGTTGTAACTGGTCTTGCTAGAGTCCCCAACCCATACGTATGTTGACTCAACCATTCAACTGACTGCCTCCCTATTGTTTACTCCAGCACACCGGAGGACGAGGAATTGACTTATTTCTCTGACAGGCCCGTTATAGTAGACAGAATCGATCCGATGGCCACACTCCCGCAACTCGAGAATCCTTCCGGAGGTCCCTAGGTAAGCTAACATGTGCTGGACGCAGTCCAGTCCAGTCTCACCTCCGCGGACGGACTTCGCTAGATCGAAGCCGTGGTTAGCCCGATGAGCTCGAGTATCAGACCGAATTTGTGAGTGGCACCGAGGAATTGTCCGCAGTTACCTTCTAGCCTTTGCTGCAAACTCGGAACCGCCCTCAATGACAGCCAATTTGGGACGAGATACATAGGTATTCGGCCATCGAGGACAGCGTGGATATCATTGAGTACTATACTCGAACGGCGGGGGCCGAAATGGGTGACCCCCAACGTCCCAATAGTTCTGCCGACACGGTCAAGCACCTTCGAGTACGCTAGCAATTTTCATCAATTCGTCCCACCTTTTATCCTCTATCCACCCGATCGTCTTGTCTTCTCTCAATGCCAGTACAGTCTTCAAGTCCCCATCCGCTAGGGCTCCTGCGCTCTTCCCTTCAATTTCCTTGATTTCCTTGTCGATTCTGTCGAGCCAGGCGCCAGCAGTGACAGCCTGATCATACTCTAGAGATGGAATGCGCAGTGCCCACATAACACGATCGCTCCCGTGCGTCACGTATCCTATGTGCGGTTCCATATAACACCGTAAGTAGCAGTCAATGTGTAGTTCCGTCGCAACGATACCTACCAAGCGGTCTCATCTGTTCTGGGGTCCACTGGATGATGTACCGCAAAGCAGGATATCCGTGCTGGAGCAGGTCCCTAGCAAGCAGGCGTACGGGGATATACACTTGTCCATCGCTCAGAATCTCTCCAAACAGCCGTTGGATATCGTCGTGGCTAGCGTCGTCGGGCAGATGCCTGTTGACATAACATAGTGAAATTTTCATACAACTCTTGATGAGGGACCGAAAGAGCGCACCGATAACAACTCAGCATCTTTTCCACGTCCTTCTTCTCATAATATCTATCGAGGTTGAACTCGATGTCGCCCACCTTCTCCACAGGATGTGCGATCGAATAAAGGTACCATTCTTCCGTCAGCTCGCCTACGACAACGCTCTTCACTCCGTGCTCTAGCAGACCTTTAGCGAGACCGCCGGAGCGCTGCCACTCCATCACGTCAACCTTCGTTGAGCCATCAGGGTATAAGAACCACCCGGGCTCGAGGGTGCCGCGGAACGTTCCATATACGCCGAGTTGCTCGGATTCGATGATCTTGGTGAGGCGATCAGCTGGGATTTTGCATGGGTCGCGCAGGTCATCAAAAGCCGTTGGAGAGGCGAGGTCCAGTGATAGTGCCTTGCATACTGCTTCGTATTGTGCACGCAGCTCCTTGGGAGTCTTTGGATTCGCTCTGTGTGGGAGTGATTTAGAGACAAAGAAACAGGTATGCAATGTGTGCTTCCTGGGTATGCGACTTACATGATGGAATTCGACTGCAGTATGACAGAGTGGAAAGGCGCCAATTGACCCGCTGGTAGCCGGGATGCGTGGTGCAAGAGCTGATGAACAGAGTGTGCACCTGTCCACATCCATCAGCGAACGCATTCCGTTCCATCATAGTCGATATTCGAACCAGCGGACAGCCCAGAGAGCGTAATATCATTTGGGTTGCCCCCAAAATCAACTATATTGTCCTTAATCCATTCGAGTCCAAGCCATTGATCCTTGAAACCATAATTCCCGGTTATCGATGGTTTGTCGGACGCCAAAAACCCAAAGATGGACAGCCGGTACCCAATATTTACCCAGACCTCGTTGCGCGCGGCAGAGATGTACTGTGCCTGAGAGTTGAGGTGGTGTGGGGAGCCGAATTGCAGGAACCTTTTTGAGAGATACGGTATCAGCTTGTCGAGGGTGGACACAGACATGGTATGTCTCATGTACGTACCCTCCGTGGATGTAAACTTTTACAGGAAGTCTCTTCTGCTTGTCTGGGAACGAAGGAGGTGCGACGATATTCGCAAATAATCTAGTCACGCCCTAATTAACCTCCCGCGCAAGATAGTTCCGTCCGGCGTAATACTTACGGATTCTCAGTGGGCTTGCCAAAGCCCACTTTATCCTCGAAAGGGGTGCCTACAGACAATATACCATAAGCCTGGCGTCATACTGATGGCCGAATGACAACATATACCCACTTGCAGACTGTCCGTCATTCGTGGGCTGCGCGCAGTCTAATACCTCAATGCAGCATTCACACAGCAGGATGCATTTATGGCGCTTACATGAGTCCTCGCGTATGTACTCTTTACCTTCGTAGCGGTATGAAACCGGCAGGGGTTTAGGATCCTCAAAGCGTCCTGGCGGGAGTGCAAATGGGACCTCTGCAAAAGAAGTCAGACTGGTATACCAAGCGACTGTTTAAGGTTCATATTCAGAGTGTTTCGGACGTCTACCCCCAGACCTTAAGCCATTTTGAGCTCGCCACACCCCCATGGATCCTCCTTATTGGGCCACGATGGATAGATATCCAGCACAAACACTCAAGCCCACATCATATCAACACCTACCTAGCCAAACCGCCGCCCCGTTCGCAGCTCTCCCTCCCACTACCGGGCCATACCTAGTCTCCGCGGTGACGCGCGCTGGGCTCTCCGCAAGCTCGTCGTGCAGGTGCTTGATCCCGGGCATGCTTGGCTATAACACGGCAACGGGGAAGGGTCAAGACAAGGCTCCCCTGCCATTTCCTCGAAATACGCAGATAGATGCATTTAGAGTCGGCAACATGTGACTGATCAGGCTCCTAGAACCATCCGTCTCGCGTCCTCGATCCTCTCTGCTAGGGCGTGTGTGAAGATGTTATCTAATATGGCTTATATAATGTAATTTATTTATAGCTGTGTTTCCTGATTAAGCCGAACGGTGAGGATGAGGACGCTATGAGACGGCTGGCCCAACTCGTCGTCCGAGGTTTCACCGGAATTATGTAAGTTAGCTAAGCGACTAACGACGCGTCGGTTTACTGTTGGTTTATTGACGTTCGTCGACTGCCCGATTCGGATTGAGGCTTGCTCTTCGAGCATGTCCTCTGCTCATCCGCGCATTGACGGCGGGGGGACGGGGATAAAATCTGACGGTAATATAGCAAGCCATTTCTTCGATAGTGAAACAATAATGCGCGAGTGTCTAGGGGTCTGTTGCTATATTTTCGATGAATAGATTAATTTACATACAATGCAAAGTCCAAGCACCAAGTTCTTCATTGCAGAGTAGCCTGAGACCTTATAATA